TGTAGTATAGATGTAGTATAGATGTAGTATAGATGTAGTATAGATGTAGTATAGATGTAGTATAGATGTAGTATAGATGTAGTATAGATGTAGTATTTTAAGAGGATATATTCATCTAAAATAAATATTCATATTAAATCTTTTGATAAGTGAGTCCGACTCACGAAACAGTTCTGTAGAGAACAAATTATGGTCGTGTAATTTCTACACTTATAGTACACTCAACAAAATTACTCGACTCTGATTGGTCGTGAGGAGTACAATTATAGCGCTAATTGTACTCCGTAGAAGTAACGAATTAAGTCGCTATGGCAACACGGCCAAAACAATGTCAAAACAATTATTTTCTATCACTTTGTACTTAAAAACATATTTAAAAGATTTTTAAGCAGTAAGAACCAATCTTTTTTATGCAGTTCAGTTGCGCGATCGACTGAAAATCGGCCGCCAAGTAGACAAAGATGAACGGCGTCGCTTCGCATTTTTTACTGAAATTTTGTTGAGTGAACTATAAACAAAAAATCGCACGATCTTCTCGTACAATTTGGAATAAATAGACACTCGTAATGGTTTGAAAGTTCTTTAATTGCACTCGCCTAAAGGTTCGTGCAATTACTAGAACTTTCAAAACATTACTCGTGTCTATTAATTTCCAAATTGTACTCGAGATCGGTGCGATTTCCTATACTAATACTATCTTATTAACTAAAAAGACTGAAAGCAGTATTTTCCTTTAGGCTCTACTACCCTAATGCAATTTGAGTTACAATTACCTCATCTTCGCTTAAATCTTCATCTACGTCTTCATTCTCTTGAGTGAGTGACAAACATCTTAGATTTAATGCCTCACATTGTTCGGTCAGTGTCACGTTTTGTTCGGTAAGTGACAAAATGTGTCTAGTAAGGGATGAACATCGTTTTGCCAGTAACATCATGTGTGCAGCCATGTTGTCTTGTACGTGTTTATCGACATGTTGTCGTTCAACTTGGACTGAACATCCCTGATCTTTGAATGGACAATCCAGTATTGTCTTGGTACAGGTGTTTTTTATATGGTACTCCAAGTCAAGTCTAATTATAAAGAAAAATAAAACAAAGACATTGAATAGTCATTGAGTTTTGCGCGGTTTACGAATGAGTTAACTCTAAATAACTTTCATGAACACCAGTTTTCCACAACTCGTGGTGTCAAGAATAAATAACCACATTCTGAGGTTGAGATAAAACCTGGTCGAGTTGGCATTACGTTGCATTGTGGGAATGTCTGAGGGACATATTTTCAAGATTGCGTCTATCTAGTTCCCCTAAAACAATCCTACAGTACCGCGATGCTAATTTTCATCCAGATTTTCTTCAAACCCAGGAATGGATAATATAATTTGATATTATATAATAATATTAATAATTTTAAGTCGAAACAATGTACACTACAAGAATCGTAATGTTTTGTGATCGATACTGAAAAGTTTCATGAAGTTTATTTACCTTTTTATCATAAGAGTCACGTCTGTTTCGTTATCGATGCATCGGTTAGGGCAACATATCAGTACCTGTAAACAGTCGTCCCTTATGTGCTTATCTTTTTCGTGTTGAAGTATTACCACACCACATATTACGCACTCCACTTTTCTGAAGTAGCATATCTTTTCGTGGTGCTGGAGCTCTCTTCTCTGCACTGTTTGATTGCATTCTTCATGAGAACACTGCACCTCCTGGAAAGGACAAGTCTTTCTGTGCTGCGTAAGATGTTGTAGCTTGCCAATCCAGTCACATCCTACGAGAGAGAGAGAGAGAGAGA